TGCTGCCAGTCCAAGGTAAGACAGTTTTAAATGGTTTTCATGTTCTGTCTCATCATAAGTCTTTGTCACAAGACACTGGTCACCGATGGGAAGATTTTATTCTATACAAGTTGTGCTTTATGAACCAAGTCAGAGCCAGTTTTATGGCACAAGCCTATTTGCCAAACAATGTATTCCAGTTTGCCACTGAATATACAGTATATTTAATGGTGACACTTTATCATGTTAGTATGTTAAGAACCAGCGTCCCCATTTTAATTTTATTCTATTTAAACACCAGGGCTGAATGAGTGCCTTCAATCTGAGAATTAAGTTGGACTCTGACTGGTATTTTAACATTTTTGCTTAGAGGTGATGGCTGTATATTGTATCTTGTACTGTTTCTCATTTGGTTTGATTGCAGTATAAATGTGACTTTCCAAGGTTTTGCATGTATGCAGAATGTATATATAAAGGTATCGACACAATTGCTGATGAACTGGGTGCAGGTTGTGTTTATATACCGACCTGTGAAAGCGAACTGTTCAGGGTTTTTCCATGTATTTATATGGACTAAGGTAAATTATTCAACATACAGTTCTCAGATTTATAATCGCTAGCTGCTGATGTGGAATACTCTTATTTCATGCTGGTATTACTTTCTACCCAGTGAACACAAGCTAAGGCTTGTCACTTAACCTGCGTGCTCAGTTAAAAAGGAAAATGTGCACTACTTTATCATCCCCGCGCCCACACACTGTTCCCACTGCCTGAGCCAATGTCATGCTGTACTATGATCAAATTGATTCTCTTTTAAAACCTTGCCCATATCTCTGCTTTGTTGTCAAGCTCGCCACGGTTTGCACCTCACTCTTGTTTACAACAAGCACCATGAGAGAAAAATAAATCATTATCTTCAGACCAATTGTTTTGTTTCTTCACTAAATGATACACTAGATGAAACATGCTTAAGTTCAGAAACGTTTTATCCACAACAGATGGAGACGAACAAGCAACCTTACCTTGAGTCTCTTTATAATTGTAATTCACCGTAGTGCTGATCATCTTAAAATCAGTACAGCTGTAATTCACAACAGTGCAGGTATAGTAAGGTTACAAGAGGATATTTTTACAAAACAAACGTGATGACACTTAAATTCAGGTGCCAACGTATTTCCTTCTGGGTTCACTGAGGATGATTCCCCCTTCTTTCATTGCTGCCCTGAAAGACTGAACCTGTGAAAATGAAAAGTCAGGAAGAGACAAACATGAAGCAGGTGACAACGTATGGAAAGAAAAAAATAAATAAATAAAAAGGAATGCAAATCCTATCCCAAACATCAATTCATGCTGTGTACTCACAGCATCAGAGCGATACGTCCAGGGAATCGCCCTGTACACCATCCTGGTGATACCAGCCTGCTTGCATCGATGTGCCAGCACCTCCCCCACAGCCTGACATGCTGCCACACAGTTTGTAGAAGGCAGTTCCTTCTTTATGGCCCACTCTTTGGTTGAACAGGAAAGCACCGGGACAGGAGAGGTGCTGGAGAACACTGCAGCTGTCACATGATTCTGGGTACGGGAAAACATCAACCTGCAAAGACAAGAGACAAACATGGTAAAATGGGAGAAACAACATACTTTCAGCAACTACAATGAACAAAATACTTCAAATATAAAACAAAAACCATAATATTTTGCTAATTTTTAATTAAGGTTTACTTTGAATCATCTGGCAACAAGAATTCTGTATAACACTATGTCACCACAATACAATGTCAATATACCATGAAAATCACACTTTTGTCTAATCCTACCGATGTCATACAGTGGGAAGGGATGTAAAAACAAACCACACAGGCAAAACATGCACAACAACACGCACTGAGGCAGAGCAAGGCAAACAGAAGTCCACATGTTATTTGTACTAATGCAGGCAGATCATTATCTGTAAGTAATATGATTTTATTTTGTATTACATCACTTATAGAAAAGGATTCTTTTGAATGTTATAAATATGAGCACGTTCGTCGTTTATATTTGCAGTTGAATAAAAACTTTAACAGACTGGTAGACAGAATACGTCCGTGAGAGGACACAGTTTCGTTACACACAGACCTGTGGTAGAACTGCCGGTGGGGCCAGGTCGTTTTCCAGCCCCGGTCCTTCACAGCCAGAGCCATCTGCTCCAGGTTCCGGGGGTTTCTGTTCACAAAGGTCGGGTTCACGGCTTCGGCTTCATTTGCGCTGGGCTCCGGCTCCGGCTGAGAGGCCGCCTGACTCAGACACCGAGCTGGGCGACAGATAAGATTCATAAAACAAAAGCTGCCCAGTTCCTGGTAACCCCACAAAGTTCATGCTTAACGTTAGCTAACCAGCTAAATAACGTTTAAATGACATGAATGCCAAATTGCTCCAAATAAACGAAACACCAGTATATACGTATCTAGAAGCCACACTGTTCAAAGAATATGAAACAAAACTGCATAAACAGCTGAAAGAAAAAAAAACAAACTTTAGCTACATAACTTACTTGTCTGGTTTGTAGACACAATCAGACGACATCGTAACATCCGTATACTACGACTTAATTCACTCAAAGCCATCTGCTCCTCAGCTAGGTTCACGTCCAGTAAGACTACTATCACCGAGGTAAAGCCTTATGTCCTTAAAGATATGAACGTATAGCCTTTTACGTTGATTTTTAATAAGAATTCACCGTGTCATGTGGAACGCCATCTTTGACATTCAGACAACATCCGGTGCCGTCTCAAAAACTGCACTGACAGAAACAAATGGGAACGATTCCGTTTACGTGTCTTCTACCAGAATAAAAAGATTTGCGGTCAATTTGTCCTAGAGAAACCTCCAGTGGTGGAAAGTAATTATGTACGTTAACCAAGGGCTATACCGAAGTACAATTTTTACGTACTTTTAGCTACTTGAGTATTATCGTTTTATGTCTTCATTCATTCTTACATGTAGCCCACATCATGTAGTGGAAAATCTTTTACTTTTTACTTCACTGCAGACAGCTACAGAGTAACATCTTAAAAATATAATATAGTGCATATCGCAAGAGTGTATAGAGCAGTTTAAAATAGTACCATCTAGACCAGTTATAGAATTAATGCAGCTCACATATTAATGAATTAGTACTTTTGATAATTGCAGTATATTTTACCATACCATGGAATTTTGAATGCAGTATATAGTATTGTACTTGAAATATTGTCCACTGCTGATTGCACCTTCAAAATGCACACTCAGTTTACCTGTAACATTGCACTATTTAAATAAAACTGCCTTGCCTTTACATTGTGGTATACCTCTTATCCTTACACTGGAATAATGGTTTTGAATACTTCAACTGCAACTTTTCAAATATGACACAATAAATAGTGTGCCTACCCAATCAGGTGAAGGAGCGTGTTCAGTGAATGATTGTCCAAAATAAGATTTTTAAAAATTTTTTATTTCAGTTTAACTCTGATCAATTTTACAGTGTAAAAGCCAAACACAGTTAAAGTCAGAGTGTTTGTCAAACTAGTGACATGATAATGAATGGTAGGACATGTTCCATAAACTGCTGGTAAAAACAAGCACATAGTCCCAGTAAGGCACATTAAAATACTTTTACCGCCAATAAATACCTTGTCATATGTTGTAAATGGAAGACAACAGAATGAGTGGAAAGTATCTTTGGCTACTAAAAGTCATTCAGATAATTCCCAGGTACCATTTGAAGAGTTCCACAGCACTGGCTTATTAAAGGTACAATAAACCAATTCAACAGTCATCTATTCCCTTATGTTATTTGATGTGCTTTCCCTTTTCATAGCTGATGCCCATAAAAATTATTTATACAGTGAAAAGTAAATTATTACTATTTCTTGACCTTCTCAAAGAGTAATTAGAAACACGTGATTAACGCAGCAAGGGGATACAAACATATAGTGTAAATCATTATACAGGGACTCATTTTCATTTTAACAATGCAAAAATAATAGTCTATACCATTATGATCACTGTGCAAGTCATTTAAAAGTCATAGCCTACAGGCAATGGAATACTATTGTTAATACAGAGTGATTAGTGGTGCAGTCCAAGTAGTCAATAATACACATTAAGTTAAAGTAACCGTTTGGCATTATTAGGAATTTAAAAAAAGACTTGGCCAATCATGTAGCAGCTGATGCACTGATCAGAGATGAGAAAGAGAAAGGGCTCAGCCTGTATCCTGTTCCACTGTAGAACTTGTTCTGAAACTCCACCCTGCAATAGACAGAAGCAAAGTCAACATGCAACAGCAAACAAAGTATAACACATAGTCAAAATGCTTGCTTCTTTCAACCATCACCAGTTAAAACATTTTAAAATGTATTAATGAAACAACCAGGTATGTCTTGGATCGTTTTAATCCATGTCCTCTCATCCTTACCAGTGCAGACGGAGTGCATGCAGGAACGCTGAGAGACCCTCCATAATGAGTAGGATGGAGACAGTCAACACAGCAAAGAAAGCAAAAATCACCACAAGGACTACAGATCCCAGGTAGCCCTGCCACTTCAGGGCAAGACGCATCACCATTACCCACAAAACCTCTGACAGCTCTGTGGAGACATAACTCACCGTCAGAAACCCACATGTGGCTGGAATAAAAACAATCATGTGTATGACTAACTGGCTGAAAAACGAGTGTGTGTGGTTTCAGAGAGGAAGTCTGTCTGCGTGTGCACATCATGTGAGTATGAAGACCCAGACTGTGTCAGTCTGTGTGATACTAACGTGCATGTGCCAAACTAAGAGCCCAGAGTCGGAGGTAAGAGGCGGTGTTGGAGATGCAGCCCAAGCAGTACTCTATGGTGTGGATGGCCTGATGCATGAACACATCTGCAGCATCAAATTCCTGCATACGGTTAGACGACAAACACAAGAATATGTCTCTGAAACTGCTTTAAGCTGTTTTATGAATTAAATTAACTCTGGCTTTTTTCTTACCTCCTCCTGTGTAGCACCTCCCTCCACCTCCCCTTGTTGAGCGTTGACAGAGCTGTCACCAGCCACCAGCGGACGTCTGTCTTCCTCCTAATCAAAGAATTAAAGGTATGTCAGATCACTGTAGAAATAAAGAGTTAAAGTTCAGTCCAGACGCAGACTCACTGCTTCACGTCTTTTCTTGAATGTGATGTATTTATATATGGGCTTCCCTAGCAGGAGGACTGGGACAGAACACAGAGCCAGCGCCACTAGGATCTTCTGCACCACCGTCTACATGTGAAGAGTGAAGGGAAGCCAGATGTTATGCATATTTTTGCAAGTTGTTGTCCATTTACTAAAAATAAACTTCTGCAAACCATTTCCCACAGCATGGCACAGTATTTGTAGGGTTCAAATTATTTTAATTTCTAGTTCACTGGTTTCTACGTACATTATTGCACTATGAAAATGAGCTTGCAGAAACTGGTTCAGAAAATAAACTGAAAAAGATAAAATATGCATAAACAGCAGTTGCTGGCAGCTCCTGTTATATCTTGGATGCTCAATTTCAAACTTAGCACCAAGCAACAGTTAATTAACCTTGATATAAGAAAACAAAGCTGGGTTCCATGTCTCAAGCAGGTTTCTGGCATCTTTAAGGTGATTTTCATATTGTACTAGCAAAGTAAAATAAAAGCAGTGGCTTCCTGGAAGGTAGTGAAAAAAAAGCATTCATCGATATCAAAATTATGGCATGATATAAAATGTCTGGCAGTTATGTAAAGTATGCAGATAAGGTGATAAGATTCTTTTTAGGGCAATGAGCACACCACACACCTGTCCTTTATAAAGTGGAGGGTTGTCAGGGTTTTCTGTGAAGAGGAACATGTCTATGAAGTGGATAAGTATACTGGGAGCAATTTTGGACTGGGCGGGGGTGTAAGCAATCCACTTGAAGACCACCATAAACACCAGGTAGCCAAACAGACACACCATGAAGAACAGCTCTGGGATCAGCACAAAGAACACACTGCTCATCTGGCCAAAGTGCCTGGAGAAAACACCAAAAACAACAGAGGTGAAGCAGAGACAGGGAAGCAAGCAAAACAAGTTGTATAAGAAGAATTCACAATGGAGGTGCAACACACCACACACACACACACACACACACACACACCACAAAAGTAAACTTCTGATTCCTTACCTGTAGTTGAAGTATGACAAGCAGACTCCAAAAGTCATGTGAATGATACCGATGATGACGGACATCTTCATCTTGTACGAGTTGAGGAAAGTCAGCTTGTTGTTGGCCAGACCCCAAACCTGATGAGAGCATGAACAAGAGAGAGTTGGTATGAATCAAGTGACAAAGAGCCGTGAAAGGAAAGGGCAACATGTGTGATGGTTGTACCGGGTCAATCCCAAATGGATAGGGGCTGGTGAAAACTCCAGGCACAACTGGATCCATGGACAAATACTGGTTCCTTGCCAGGACTGACGAACTGCAGAGATGATACAAATAAGGTGGACCATAAAATGAAGAAAAAAAGAAGCTATGAATCACTGTGAAGCTTGCTTGTTCTCACTTCCATAGGTTTTTCTCAAACATAGGGTGGACATGCCACGCCGAGCTGAAGGTACTGAGGCCTCTGCTGAAGCACTCGTTGTAAATGGCCCCCGTGTAGATAGAAAACAGCCCCATCAGCAGAATTAGATATCTTCCTCCAAACATCATCTTCCAGATCTGAGCCACACAGATGATATTTATTTCAACAATGAATATGCAAGGTCAAAGAGAGATTTCAGCTTTGTTTTATTTTGCAAAAATCTTCTGAATTACCTCATTGGTGTTGTTCTTAAGTTTTGGATCTTTCTCCTCAAGGATCATCCAGAGAGCAGCCAGGGTCATTAGCAAACCATGACCCACATCCCCGAACATGACAGCAAACAGGAAGGGGAACGTAATAATGGTGTACACCGCTGCAGAGGCAATGAAAGAACAGACATGTGAGGCTGAGAGTTCTCTGCCTTCTACTTTGAACTAGGGTGATCCTGAATGGCAAATTTTGGGCTCCAGATATTCTGTGGTAATAACTGGCAACAGATCTCCATAAACATCCGCGTGTACACAGAATGTGCTACATTTGCTTCACTGATGTGAGCTCAACTGATGGTTTTACCTCTGAAGACATCTCACTCTGTTGGAGTTGTTCAAACTACAGATAAACACTGATTATTCAGTGGTGTTACAGAACGACACCGCTTTGACATAAACAATCTTTGACTAACTACCGACAGTGTGCTGTGTGTTTGCCCGCCAGCTGCAGCGAGGTCACAAAACTAACAGCTACTTCCATTTTGTCCTGTCATCGATTTAAATCAGAGTTAATGTTGGTTAGTGGCAGCTGATATGACCCTGCTGGTTGTCATTTTAACCAGAAACAGCGACAATCAGCAGAAGCTACTACTTGAACGATTTGGACATGGAGCTTTGCTGACAAGACCACAGGTGTCACTGGTACTGCTGTGCAACAGCAGCAGCCATGGCAGGAAGGAGTCCTCGAAAAAAATTGATTACCTACCCAAAGAACGAATATTCGAATAGTCAGATATTCAGGCCCAACTCGGTTTTTCAAATATGACAGGTCCTTTTTAATTTCACAACATTAATGGGGAAAGTTTTTCCATCAGTGCCCTGACATACCTGGATTAACTTCACGGTAGCTGGCCACTCCATAGGCATCAACAATGTTCTGGAAACCCGTGGTGAAAGTGTTGAGGGGAAACAGAGTAGGTGGAGATGTGGAGGAAGGCAAGCGGTTGTAGAAAGAATCAACGCTACTGCCACTCTTCCTCTAAGGATGCAGAAGAAAAATTAGGCAATGTACGTATTTATGTGAATGCTCCTTGTCTAGACCTGTGTGTTTATCTCCATCTTACCCCGCCCTCTCTCAGAGCATTCTGCAGATCAGGCAGCTTGGCAACAGGACACCAGGCCTCAGCAATCAGGCATTTGTCAGTGACAGAGGGGCTGCAAAGATTCAGAACCATCTGGACCGCTTTGCACTTCTGAACCCGCACCTTCCACTGAGGCAGGACGGCCACTGCCCGCATCAGCAGCTGCTGCAGGAAGGCCTCAGTCTGTGACAACACCTGTCATACAAAACAGGGAAGTGAGAGAAGAGATGTGTGATCTAACAAGAGCTACCGCTATAGGATTTTCAATTGTGAGACATTAAAAAAAAAGAGGCTCAATGCTAGAAATTCTATCAACATAGTAACAAATAGCCTTGTCACTTTGCTTTTACAAAGGGGGAACTACACTTACTGATTTGATATCTTCAATTCTGCCTTGAAGTCCTTGAAGAATCTCCTCCCTTTCAGCAGTGCTCTCAGGGTATGCAAATGTCTGTGTGCGGAAGCTGTGGGGTGGGGAAACAGGTGCAACAGAAACTGAAGTGTGGAAATCACAACTTAAAAAAAAAAAAAGAAAACACATCGGACCGCTGCACAGATTTACTCACCAATCACATATCTTCTTGACTTTCTGGCCAATCTGATCTCCCCAAAAGGAAATGAGGAACACTGTCCATTGCACCATTTCTCCCTGCAAATGAAGACAGAGCAAACAGTCGATAAAACGCCCATGAATATGTCCTCAAATGTAACAAATCAGAGACTATCCCCTGTAAGAGAAATAGCTTCCACACCCATCCCTCAGCCTCTCCATCACCCAGCTCTCACCGTGTCCGGATGTTCGAGTCGATCCTCCATTTCTCTAAAATCCACAATAATATAACCCCGACATGCCCGCCACAGCAACCGCTCAAATGAGGGAACTTTCCAAGGATGGACCACTCCTGCCACAAAACTGATAAAGAGGGCACAGAGTGGAAAATGTGTTACATGTATATAAAAGCACAAAACACATTTCGGCAAATGAGATGTACCTGAGGCGGACATCTTGACGGTTTTCAAACAGGCCTTGGCTTTCCAGTGCAGCTAGTGGTGCCTGTGAGAACATGTTGTAGTTTCAGTTTCCTTACTACAGCACAGTAAAAATAAAGATGCAGGAATTGTTGCAGAAGTGAATTTTTAACCACCTGTGAGGCTGTGAGAGCGTGCGTTCTGTTCAGGACTCCTCTGTACTGACAGAGCTGGGTCAGTTGAGCCCGGAGGCTGTCCCTATTCCTGGACACCTAGTGAGACACACATGCAAATAGAAAAGAAATACATATGTCAAACCAGTAGGTTCAACCTCTTTTGACTGTGCACTAATGAGACAACAGAGGCTGAGCACAGCCTTGTCTTAAGTGTTCACCTCTTTGAGCTCTCTGGCCAACCTCTCACTTTCCTCCTCTATAGTGATGAGTTCACGGGGCTGAGGGGCCAAAGGTGTCGGGCACGGAGGGGGGAGGGGACCTCGCAAGGGTGGAGACAGGGAGCGATTGATCTCCTGCTCCAGGAAGGCTGAAGGGAAGATAAAGAAGATCAGAAAGGGCCAGAGGAGAATCTTAACAAAAAAATACATTAAAAAAAAAGAAAAATATAAGTGAAAGAGTTAATATGACTTACTGAAGGTTTTCTCAAGTTCTTCACATCGTCTGACCTCATTGACAAACTTCCTCTGAAAGGCATTCACATTGGGATTTAACTGAAAGGTCAGAGCACAGGGGGGAGGACAAGGGCAGCAGGATTACTCATCTTCATGAAATCACAATAGCACAAGGAAAATCTTGCTGTTTCACAGTGAGTCAAAACAACCTTCAGTCCATCTCATCTGAGGTCAAATTTAGAAACGCTACAGACACATAAGTGACTTTACAGGGCATCTCCTAGTACCAAATAATAGATCTAGGCAATCACATTCAGCTGAAAATAGATCAATAACTGAGCTCTGGACTGTTGTAAGAATCAAAGTTGGACTTTGAGCTTTTCACTACAAGACCATGAACTAAGATTTTAAGTGACTCACATCTCTGAACTCAACCAGGCCCAGCTCTCCCAGCTCACTGACACAGTTATAGGCAGAGCCGGACTGAAGGAAGAGCTGCACCAGGCACACCTCCTCACTGCGAAATATGGAGCCCATAATTGCCTGCAAACCACCAAGAAAAGAAGTCTAAATGAATATTTTTATCTAAAACCTGCAGCAAGAGTAGAGCAGTTTATGGTGAAATGAGAGATATTACTGGGATAGACAAAAGGAAAGAGGTAGTAAACAGTAACAAAGAAAGTTTCCAAAGAGCATCTAGTTTCAGTTAGGTCAATAAAAGTCTCCCAGTGACAATGTAGCTGCTTATTACTGGAAACTGAAGAAAAGGGAACCAGCAAGTTCTCCTAATCAGGTGGAATGCACATTCTTGCACAGGCATGTCAAATACATTAGTACACACACACACACACACACACACACTACATCCATCTGGCTAAAACTACTACTTTTAATTTAATTTTAATTTATTGAACCTATGTTATGTGTGTCTGTTATTGTGCTGTTTTATTTTGATTTGCACTGATCTTATTTACTTTATTTTAGTCATTTATTGTGATTTTATTTTGCCATGTAAAGTACTTTGGTCAGCTGGATGTTGTTTTAAAGTGCTGTATAAATAAATTAAATTAAATTTGATTTGATTTAAAAGGCAGCATGTTAATGAAACCTGTAAATACAAGGTGCTATCTAATAAACACAGGGAAGCAGGAGCCAACATTACTGAGTTGCTATAAACAACTGGATCACTTTCGTTTTTCCTCGCCGATGAATCAAGGCTAAAACATCCGCATCACACAGAGATGCAGCGTGAACATAACACTAAATCTTGATGAATGTGCGTAAGGGAAACCCGTTTAAAACACGGCGGGTTGATTTAAGTCAGGACAGTAGCAGTATGAAGCTAAATAACGGGCATCTCACCTGTCTGCCACCTAGATTCCAGTGGAGTCCGAGCCGCTCTCCTTCAGACCGGTCAGCCCTGTGTCTATGCGGAACAAACCAAACATGTTTATGAGAAGCTCTCCCGTCGCCAACTTCCCGTTTGAGTCACGTAACTGCAGACTCACGTGACGGTTGACGCTCATGTCCCATGGGGCCACGTGGAGTTGAGATTTTGGTTATTTATATGGCGGAAATGAGCTTTTTTGGGGTTTGAGTCAAGGGAGAACTACCATGAATCCATGAGAATAACGTGCAAACAGCGCCTGCTGAGCTCTACTTACATTAATGTTTTCATGGCGGAGGCTGCCATGGTTTAAAAATTAGGAAATTAATAGGACACTATAGAAACACGTAGGGTTTATAAGAGAATAGGCCCCTAGGTACACACAGGGTAAAGGCCCCCGACCCCTGTCCGTCCAATATCCATGTATGAAAAATACTCCAGTAGGAAAAGTCTGGGAAATGTAACAGAAGGTTATTATTCATGCATTAATGTGTAGACACCACATGACTGCTGTATTTGGTTAAGATGATTTATAACTTTTAATTTTGCATAGGACTGCAACAACTGAATATTTTTATTCATTCAAAATTATTAAAACCATTACAATTAAAAGGCAAAACCGCTCACATTTGAGAAACTGGATCAAAAGTGTTTACCATGTTTATAACAATTAAGAGACTTATGAATGGTATAATCGTTATGGCCTGTACTGTATACTGTGGAGTAGAATAAAGCTGTATGAAATGAAGAACTCAAATAAACCACAAGGTTCTTACATGTGTACAGTTCTTGAGAAAAAGTATTTAGTTACAGCGCAGCACTGCCAGATGCATATAAAACATGGGGTCATTATCACCAAAATGCATTTCCTAGACTGACATGACCTTGGCAACAAAACATCCTCTTCATAGGGAAAGTCCCTGGGGAATAAACAGCCCCCCAGGGACTCATTATGTTGTAGTTCTGAAGGAAAAATTATTCAGTGATGAAATGTGCTGCAATGATTTTCCCAACCAAAAAGTTGAATAATATTGTGGACTAATAAATTCTACTCTTTCTCCACTGAAAAAATTGACTTTAGACAATTTAGAATTTTGTCCACAATGATTAACAAATTGATCAGTAGATAATTAATAAAGGGTAGTTCTACTAGCTATAGGCTAATATGCCCTTACTGAGTATCTTGTTATTTGTGGAAATGTCAGAAAACCAAGGAACATTTATTTTTCATTTCCTTCAGAGGAGCCAACTGTGCCATCAGTCTTAATCTGACAAACTCTTGTACAGCAATACAAAAGATATTTTATTTTATGTAAAAGGGCAGAGATAAAACAGATAAAATAGAAATGAGAAATGTACAGTGACAAAAAAAAGCTTGGAACAAATGAAACAGCAAATGAAAATGAGGGGAAGTTCAGCAAGACTGAATTTGCCAGAGGAACATGAATCTCACACCTGCTCATCATCATCTTAACTGTACTGTAATCACTACAAATGTATTTTCATCTTACCCTAAAGATAATATAAGGACACTGATCTACATTAAGAAGCAAAGCACATGGTCAATTGTATGTCATCACCACATAGTTCTCCACTGTATGTGGACAGTTTACTACACTGTGTACTGCAACACTTTGGAGTTGTATTACAAGCAATTTTAGACCCCCGTTCCTTCCCCGAAACAGAAAAAAAAAATACTACAGTAAAATTATAATTGCTGGCAAATCAAACAGGAACATTACACTGGCTGTTGTATTATTTAAACTTCATTGTTGTTATTCCAGCCATGCTGCTGTGGTTTCAAATAGATAATTTCAGGCAATCACTTTCCTGGGCATGAGAACTAACACACTAAAGATGCAAAAGTTAGCAGTTAGATTTTTTTTTTCTTTTTTCTAAATATTATCAGTCTATGCTAAGTCTGTGTCCAGGACATAGAGATACTTTGTTGTCCACCTCTCACCATCCTGAATTATTTCCTCTTTTACAAACTGTAAAATTTGAGACTTCTGTCCATTCCTGCAGAGGTTAGGAACTGAGCATTCTCTCCAAAGGCCACTCCAGTCACCAATCCTGTATGGTCTGCAAACAGAAAGGAAAAAAAAAAACAAAAAAACAAGGTCTAACATGAGCTACATCCTCACAGCAAATTACATGTCATGCTAGATTAATATTTGCAAAGAGTAGCATTTTTCTCCCAGACCTGTGAAGTTGAGGACCTCAGACCACTGCTTGCAAATGTATACGCGGATGTCAGACCCTCCTACAGCCAGGTAGGTGCCACTCTGATCGAACACGAGGGACTTCACCTGAAAGTGAAACACACACACAAAACATATTTAGATGCACAGAGAAATGACAGTCAAGGAGAAAAGATCAAATCAAGTTAAGTCACGTGTCAAACTCAAGGCCCGCGGGCCACATGCAGCCTGCGAGATAATTTTATACATCTTTTTTTTTAATGGCCCGGCGATATGAAGCGCCGATGGCAAACTACAAATCCCATAATGCAGTGCAACAGCTGCCTTACCGAACGATAGGCTACCTGCGATCATTCCCGCATCAATTACGTCAGATCAATCAAGCATCTGTTGATGTATACAACCCTAATTTCAAGTCAAAGCTAGCCCCTAACAATGGCCAAGAGAAAAGTTGGTTCTGAAAACAGAGCCTTTCAAAACCGGTGGGAGGCTGAGTATATGTTTACTGACATTGCCGGTAAACCTGTGTGTCTTATTTGTGGAGCTAATGTGGCTGTAATTAAGGAATATAACCTAAGATGGCACTACGAGACAAAACATCAGGACACGCTGAAAAACGTGAATGCAGACCAGAAGCTACAGTATGTAGAGGAGTTGAAGAGGAATCTGACATCACAG